CAAGCACTGGGTAGCCACAATAAAAACATTCAATGCATGGAACAGCTAACCCGCAGTTTAACCCTTAAGGACCCACAGTGACACTGGTGTCACTGCCTCTTTACACTTAGAGACTTGGTTATATATGATTCATTTGATATAAGACCCCCGTAATTTTCATGAAAGTAGAAATAGGTCTGGGCTCTTAAGGGTTAGGATTAAAACAAGCTAAATGTGATACTTTAGTCTTTTGTGAAAAATACACAAGTTCTTTTTGTTCTGGTTTTTTTTTTATATAAATATTGAGTGCTATATGGTTTTTAAGTTTGGAGTAGAGCTGTTTTATTTAGCCTTGATGTAATAAAATAAAATGAAATAATAATCAAAATAAATTTATAAAAACTTAAAAATATTAAAAACACTGCAGGTCCTCTTTAAACATAAAATGTCGAATACAGATCAAGTAAATAAGTATCAGGATGTTACAGCAAGCACAGGTGGAGCGAAACCTAAATAATTTGCTTTTTCAATGTAATTAATTTTTATTTATTTAAAATTTAGATCCTAGTGAATCTACTAAAAGAAAAAAATGAAACAACACAATTTAATGTTACAGAAAATTTTACATGTGGTTAGATTGCTTCATATTTTTTTGTGTGGATTAGTTACACACAAATGATTGTACACATTTCTAAAGCTTAGTTTATACTTGCAGATCACATTGTATGGATTTTCAACCTTTTTAAAACATATTTCTCTTCATATGTTCCTCCTGGTCACAGGAGCGAACAGAGCCAACAGATTTTGAGTGTGTGAGTAAAGACAGGGAGCCACAGTGTCTTTAACGAGAAGTTGAGATAAGTATTCTGGAGCTGGACCATTTAGTGCTCTAGAAAATCTTAAAATAATTTCCATAATCTACTGGGAGCTAACGTAAAGGGAATTGCAATCTAAAGACGATGACTGAAATGAATGAAAAATTGTCTCTACTTCAGAGGAGAAGACTATATCTCTCAATGTGGTATAGTTTTTTTAAATGAAAGAAAGATCATTCAGATCAATTTTATATGTGAGTTGAAGTTCAGCGAGAAATCAAATATTACACCAGCACTGGTGTTTGAAGATGAGAAAAACGAAGCAATCACTTGACTGACTCTTGAATGTGCACAACAATTAGCTATAATCGTGGCCTCAGTCTATTTCTTCTTCAGCCACCTTTCTCACTCACTATGTGTTAATAAACCCCTCTGCACTGAATCACACTTGTTATTAATCTTGAGCTCTCTTCCACAGCATGTCCTTGTCCTGTCTTCATCACCTAACCCCAACCAGCCCCTCCCTGAGCCTGGTTCTGCCGGAGGTTTCTTCCTCTTCCTCTTAAACTCAATTAGATTTAAACTTACTGTCATCCAAACTGTGTGTGATTCTAAGTACACGTCCCTTTATCAATTATATATAATTACTAAATTATGAAAAGAGTTGAACAAGCTCACAGATTCTGCTTCATTTAGTAATTGCTGTGCTCTCAGAGATGGCCCCACTGTAAGCTATAGAGAGGTTTATTTGTATTGTAATTATTTCTATTGAATTTGTATCGAAATCTATGAAAAACCATCTTCTTTCATCCCTATCCTAATGAGGACAAACGTGATCTTTCTCTTAGTATTTACCTTGGCTGTATGTTTGGGGTTTTTATCCTGCTACAGAAGGCATTTGGGGCCAATAAACAATTATTTATATGTCTGAAAGCATTCTTTGTTTACAGCATTTTTTCACACCTGCTAAAAACCTTTGCACAGCACTGTATATGCACCTCAAAACAAACAAACAAACAAACAAAAAATAATGCAGAGACATGCTTGCTTGAAGCTTTATTGTTGCAAAAAATAAACAAGAGGAAATAAGAAGTTTTCTCTGCAGAGAAAAAAAATCATAATCAGTCCTTTGGTAACTAGCCTGCTCTTATTAAACCCAAGACTGCTTTAAAGATAGCCTCAGAGACAGCCCAGTTTATGTTGGCTGGTCATTTTGTTATGACAGAGAGAGGAAAAATATAATGCTCCAAAATGAAATGAAGTAAGAGCGAGCAAAACTCAAACACCATCATACATCAGTGTGTGTTTTATGGGAATTTCATGCTCCAGTTTTAGTCCAATGATCAGATTTCCTTGGCGCAGACAGATGGCAGATGAGCATCACACCACATATCATCCCAGCACTTGAAAACTGAAAGGTTCAAAAGTAGAAATCACACAAATCAAAGCCCAAACACTTGTTAACAAGCTGTTATTAGTTGTATCTTTGATCACAGAAACTATTCACACACATTAATAATTCATATTAATAATTGTGTTCTAATTTACCTCCACGATTTATCTGAAGGCAGTCCTGATTGCGATCATTATTGGGCTCTCTAAAGCACCACTTTTGATAGGTAAAACAGGTCCCATCACTCCAGAACCACTTACCCTCCTAGAAAGCAGAAATTGGACTTATTGGTTCAGACAGGCCAAAATGTTGAGCCTACTCAGAGTCCTAGCAGATGATCTGACTTTAAGCACACAGCTTGAAGTCTTGAAGCTGCTGTCCCTGCATTAGTTGCCCTACAAACGCATATGAAAGAGCGACGATGTTCAGAGTGATAACCATTAGATATAAATCAACACACATTGGTTTTTTTAAATTAATCACTGATCAGTGATCAGTGATCACAATCACTGATCCCAACAAAGAGAGGAAATACCTTCAACAGGCATAAACATTTGACCACACAGCATTCAATTAATTTTCAAAAATGTACTGTCACTGATATGCTGCTAAGCTATGGTGGTGAGTTTCAAAGCAGAGCCAGGGAGAACCCAATGAGAATCAATAAGAGAATGGATCATCAAATCGGAGTTAAATTCTTATCAATTCTCATGCCTACACCTGACAAATGACAAACAAAATACCTTTGGTGCATCAGTTCCTCCAATCCAACTTTGTTTTTTGCCAGTCAGCCTCTGAATCTCACGGTACTCATTGATGTTGTGAACTGATGCAAGATGTGCCCTCATGGACTTGCAGGATTTCTTCAATGGAGAAAGAAAGCGAGCAGAGGTTTTCAAAAATAATGAGTACGTAACAGTTAAAAGGATGTGGTTTAATCGGGTATTGAAGACAATAGAAATAAGTTACCTCAGCATTAGCCCAACTCGCGATTGCTGAATTAAAGAAAAAGCAGCGACGACCGTATTTAGTCCAACCACGAGGACAACGAGGGGACCTCTTGACCACGTGACTCTTGGCTGGGAGTAAATGAATAGCTGTTCATGTGTCTCTGGCTGATATCTTATTTTGTATTTTGTTTAATAATTATACAAATAATAACTGAAAAGTTGCACAAGTAAGATTTGACACTGAAACATAAGTTAAGTGATTGACAGAGTACAGGTGTGATGAAGGCTCTACACTACAATGGCGGCTACACTTGATGATAATCACAGAGTGTGTGTCGGTCAGAATGCGCAGAATTGAGCACATAAGGCTTTTTCCATTGCTTTTTTTCTTGGTGTGGTACCTAAAGGGTTAAGTATGGACTTTATAACAGCCAGACACTTGAAAACATCCTTTGTGTTACAAACATTGAGGTGTTTTTTTGTCTGCTAACCATGACAATAATTATTGAAAATCTGGAAAATATTGCTCACCTGGGGGCATCAATCCCTCAACGTCATCTCTGGCCTCTGCACAGTGAAGACACGGACAAATTACCGCCAAAAATATTGATTTTGACCATCAATTTTCTGTATATGATAATTATAATATTGTATTATTCATTTATATGTTTCATTAAAATTATATACATGATAAAAATTATACAATGATACTCACCAGCAGCCGTGGTTGGAGCCACCATTGCACAGAGAAGTGCAGACACAGTTAGCAGCTTCATGGTGATTTTTAGTATCTTTGAGCAAAACAGATACAAAATGAATAACAGTTAAAGGACAGAAGAAAATCAATTGAATACCTTTTGTAGAATATTATTATACTTACTACACTACATTAACATTATGGATTATACATTTATGTTTGTCTAAAAACAATCAAAATTTGATCACAAAAACGAGAGAAACATTTCAGACAGTTCACACTCTCAACATCACTCTTCCACCATGTCGACTGAGAGAGAGATCAGGCACTAACTAAGCAGCTATTTAACAAAATCGAGGTGAGTGTGAGCACTAACCCTAAGATAAGTTCTCCCTGTTTTTTTTTTCTTTTTTTCTTTCAAAACACAGGATAAGATTTTAATACCACATATTCTTACATTTTCGGGTTATTTACCATACAGTAATATTGATAATCAATGTTTATGAGAGTTCTGATCATCCTGATCAACATTATTTTAACATCATAATGCAACAAATGCTCTTTTTTTCTATTTTCTGCTGATATAAGCAGTTCCTTAGTTTGACCCAGAATTTCAATAGTTAAAATTTGACTCTGGTTTGAGACTGACCTGTGATGTGAGACCCAGAATGACCGTCTGTAGATAAAAACACTGTCTGAATAAATGAAGCAGCCTCTGCAATGATCCACACACAGACCAGAATGAGCTTCAGTCCAGGAAACAGTGGAGCAAAGCTTCTCTCTGTGAGGACAGAACATGCAGTTCTCATCAACACTTGGATCAAAACAGAAATACAAGCATCTACAGCCACTGCACCACCTAAAATCCTCCACTGTAGCTCTCCAACCTTTTTTGTGAATGGGGTTTTATAAAATGCTCTCCATGCAGGTTTTACATGTGATCCCAGACCTATAGACAGTTAAAGTAGCCAGTCTCTTTGTGTCTAAGATTTGAGCATCTGCATTTATACAACTGAAAGTTTTTCAAATCCAGCCCTGATCTGGAATTATTTAATCGGTGTCAACAGAAAGAAGAGAGAAAGCACTGGAAAATAAAATACAGATTCCAGCGATGACGCTAGGAAAATTTCCCCAGGAAATTCCCTCTTCCAGTTAGCAGCATTATCCTGTGTGTTTTTTGGACAAAATTTAGTTTCTCGAGATCCACCAGGCTAAAACGAAAGGCTTGTTTTGAGATATCCATATTAAAGGTTCACAGCATAAATTTGCTCATATTTTATTGTCTTCCTCTGACTGACCATGTCTCTGTGATTCAGACCTTTTTCACTTTACATTTTTGTTGTTTAGTCTTAGTGTTCATCCACTTTACAGAGGAATATAGCATCCATTACAATACCCCTTCACCTCACCCTGAAATCTTCCCTCACAAGAAAAGTAACACCAACTAGTAAACATCTAAACAACAGGAAAAAAGGCACTACAAACACATTAAAGAGAAAAGTTTCAGGAAATTTGCCCATCGTGCAACATGCTAACAGAATCACTTATCCAACACATCTGCTCAGAGAGAGAGAGACCGAGAGCTTAGACCTTCACTCAAGCAGTTATGGTTAAAAATTAGAGATGAAAACATAACTTTAGAAGTTTAGAAATTATGTCTAAACTTAAGTTTTGAAACATCCTTTGAAAACTAAAACTTCTTCCCAAGGCCGTTGGGTAATTTATTATAAATGAGCCATTATAAATGGTTCTCACTTGGTGGCAGTTTGTATGGCTCATCTGTGCAGTCCGTTTTAAATAAAAACCTTTACATAACAACTTATTTCATAGTGCGATCTTCACATGATTCATATGCTTTAAAGCAGAATCTCTACTTGATTTCCTGTTGATTATATTCACAGTATTTACCTATTCTGTCTTTGGGGATAGCTGCCTAGCTATTAGCTTAGCTCTTAGTCACTAATAGCATGGCTTCTTCACCTGTCCCCCACAATTTTCTGCTGAGTGTGTCAAATGTTTAGCTACTCCGTGGCCTCCTATATTTATAATAAAGACTTGTAATTAATTAATTACACCTATGGAGGCCTGGCTCAGTGAGATGGAGAGCCAGCTCTGCAGCCTCAAAAATCCTGTAGCTAGCCTGTAGTGAGTGTGGCCAGACATAGCTTAGCCACTGTTAGCTCTCCCCCAGGAGATTGTCTCTCTTAAGGTGCTTTACCTATTTTTAATATATAAAACTGGAAGATATAATTCCTCCACTTTTATCTTCTTCAATATCATGTACAAACACAGTACAGAGTAGCTACCTAAACTCTATTCTCATAGAAGTTGATTATCTTGTTAATACAGTTACATCCTTACTGCATATACTTTTCCAGAGAAGCCACAGTGGCTTCTCTGGAAAAGGGATCAGATGCACTTGACTTGCTGGTATAATTCTCAAATGCACACCTTAAAGCAGATAACCCATAAACACTAATTCAGAAGATCT